GTTTTGGATTTTTCAATAAAGACCCAGAACAAGCCAAGCAAGACAAGCGGGGAAGAGTTGATTCAAATATTGAAGAGGTTAGCAAAAGCCCGTGGGGCGGTGACTCCCAGTTGAAAAGATCGGGGATGCTCGTAGTATCCCTTAGGGATAGAAATCAAGGATTCTGGATTCACTTAGAGTGTTCATGACAAAACGCCAGTAGATTTAGCTGCCAAAGTATCTTTTAGGGTGCTATCGAAGAAATAATAATTAAAAAACGCGCTTATTTCCGTTTTAAAGTTCGATTTCCTTCGGTCGTCTACTAGCACGGGCTCCTTTCCTGAACAGTGGCTGGTAATCAACCTTATTCCTTTTCAAGTGATATCTTTTAAGGTGTTATTCAAATTTTCCGACGGGCATCCCCGACCTTTTCATATGAGACGCTCCTTCCCCCCCGGGTTAGGTCCCGTCCACACTAATACGTCACAAAATCAGAGCCTTGTTTTGAACGCTCTTCAAACCGGAGGAATTTGAAAACGTCGGCTTTGCGTTTCAATGTGGACGGAAAACATTTTGAAAACGGAGCTTTACGAAAACGATTTTCATGCGATGTCCCTGACCGAGTTTTGCCCAAACACAAATCCAAATTGACCGATATTGTTGCGTTTTCAAATTTCACCGGCGTAGTGTGAACAGGGCCTCAGATGTTTGATAAACAAGCCAAAAAATTCCACCCGTGATGACGTATCACTACAAGCGTCTTTGATTGGTGGTTTCTAGCGCGCGAAAAATTCAGAAATCAACCAACACCCACTCAGAGGCACTGTACTGATCTCAACCTCGTTCCCAGGGCCTTTTCCCTGCCCCTGGAAACGAGGTTGCACTGATCTCTGAAGAGCTACGTTTTTTCGGGCCCAGTCTCCAGTCGCTCGAGCGAGCGGCCTGTCCCCACTGTTATTAATTCAAGTCTTCTTGAATTTATTATGTTGGTGCTAGCTTTCAAAACTTGCCGAGCAAGGCAGTGATCGACTGGAGTGTGCAAACGTTGATC